CACTTCGTTGGGTGACTCAAAAAGTTAATACAGATGAAAAATAAACTAATCATTTTGTGAAGTCCATGAAAAACTCGTTATTGAAGATATTTTTTAGGTAAATATTCGTTATGCAACTTTATGATATGAATATGGATCATGCAAACATGAATAAGAGAAGAGGTTAGTACATCAACTAAAGACAAATAAATAAATAAATAACTAAATAAATTAAAACGTCACGCACAATAAGAGGAATGAATCATATACTTTTGGTCAATTTTAAAAGGAAAGAGATGGCTCTATCTATAGGTTAGGCATTTCTAAGGTCCACTATATGTAGTTCGAGGTTAAAGTCTAAAGGTTCTCAAATTGCTCTTACATCATTGTCCATTACAGACTAGTAAACACCTCAATCCTCACCATTACATGCTACAAGCTAAAAATGTTCAATTTGAGTGAGAGTATTTTACTAGCCACTGTAGAGGCATTAAAACCTCACGAAAGTAATAGGTACTTTCTCCTTCCTAGAGGGATGAAGTTCAGGTATAAAGCTCATGTTATGCATATGAATGACAAATTAACAAAGTAAATAAATACGAATGAATAAAAAAATCTATACAAAAGGTTCAATTTTATTAGGCTTTTAGATAACACAAATTTATTGCTGGCCTGACTCTTAGTGGTCTCCAGTGAAGTCACCAAACTATCATAACATTTAGATCTAGAGATTTATTATTAGATATTGACTTAAAGAGTCGTCACCAATCTTTTTTTATTTAGGTATGATTGGCCACCTAAAGAATCTATCCTTTCAAAAAACACCTAAGCTTGATAAAGTCTCTAAAAGAATAGTTCGGGTCTATTAACCAGAACAATTCGAGAGTACGATTACATGTGAGAAAGCTTATAGCACCCTCACAAAGCCATCGAAAGATGGTACCAGCTTAATTTAATGTTATCCAATAAGCTTAAAAATTTTATCAAGTAATTAACTATTAAAAATTATTCTTAATTAACTTCAATACTTTTGACAAAAAATTAAGAAAAATCTCTTACCTCAAGTATGCAAGAAAACTATTGTTTCACTTGCAGAGATTCAATCATCAGATTATTTAACATTAAAAAATTTTAAGAAAAGAAAGGAAAAAAGAAATAAAATAAAAAAAAAAAGAATAATGATTCAACTTTTGATAAAAATCCTTTTCTTTTTATTTTATAAAAAAACTCATTGCTTTTGTACAAGAAAAATTGATACTTTCAACTTTTCTTTAAAATTTTTATTTTAAAAAAAAATTGATACTTTCAACTTTTTCTCAAAAATATTTTTAGAAATTTTTATTTTCAAGAAATTTTATTTTTAAAGAAAATTAATACTTTCAACTTTTTTTCAAAAATATTTTTAGAAATTTTTATTTTCAAAAAATTGATACTTTCAACTTTTCCTTCAAAAATATTTTTTAAAATTTTATTTTCAAGGAAAATTGATACTTTCAACTTTTCTTCAAAAATATTTTTTAAATTTTTATTTTCAAGAAAAATTGATACTTTCAACTTTCCTCCAAAAATATTTTTTAAAATTTTTATTTTCAAGGAAAATTGATACTTTTAACTTTTCCTTAAAAAATTTTTTTGAAAATTTTTATTTTAGGAAAATCATTGAAAAAAAGGAAAAAAAATAAAATAAAAAATTAAGGAATACCAAATAATTCTAATTTAAAAATAATAATAACAATAATAATTAATTAATTAATTAATTTTAAACAAAACTTGAAACGGCTCGACTTAAGAAACAGAAGTGAATCAAAGATGCAACTCGGTGGGAAATGGCTCGACTCGGCTAGAGCCCAGGCAGAGACACAGGTTGTTGGTTTGGGTCGCGTTATGAGTCGCGCCTTCTTGACAAAACGCAAGGATCAGGTTTATTAACGCTCAAAACGATGTCTTTTGCGATATTATAAAAGGCAAAGACTTTCATTTTTTTGCCAGATGCTTCTCCCCTTCTTCTCTCTTCCCCTCAGTTTTCTCTCCTCTCTCTCTACCCATGAAAAACACCGATGAATTCTCACCAATTTTCTAGGTTTTTTCATCGAAAACTGGGTATTTCATTGAAAAAGTTACCGAAAACTTGAATTTCATCAAAAAATTGCTTGAAATCTGAAAATTTTTCCAAAAATTTTTCAAAAAAAATGCCAAAATTTCAAAAAAAATTTCCTAAAAATTCTAAAACAACCTCTATTCTTCTAAACACTTCCCTATTTTTTTTTCTTTGCTATCTGTGTGTTTTTTCTATATGTTTCAGCATCTATTTATAGGGACTGATCAAAGAGTTTTTGATTAATCTCAACTCCTTTGTGATTAGGATTCAATCTTTGAATCCAATCCAAACCTTACCAGCTCCAAATTCACAACAAAAAAGTTTCTCTAAAACAAAAACAATAATAATTAAAACAAAATTCAGAACAAATAAATCAAAAAATAAATTAATAAATAAATATAAATAGAATAAAAAATAAAAATAAAAATGAGCTCATTTACCTTATTTGAATCAGGTCCAATTGATCCGGGTCTATATTAAATTGGGTGTCTATGTATATATTCTAATGTGATCACAGTCTACCATTGATCTTAGCTTTTACTGTGATTGATCACAGATCAGGAATTGAATCTTCTAAGTACTCATTCGAAAATTTGATATTGCCACACTTAGACTTGGCAAGTGGATTTATTTCTTTGGTGCAAAGAAAGAAGTCAAACTCAATACTCTAATTCCTCGTCTCAGTGGGGATGAGAAATTAAGAACAACTAACAGAATAAATATTTTAAAAAAAGTTTGATTGGAACAAATAAAAAGGATTGGTGATTGGATGGAGAATATAAATGAGATTGGGTCCTTTCCGGAATGACCGGTCTGCCTTATCCTCGTCTTTATGTTACTTTCGTCCCTCTCATCAAATTTAGCCAAACCAAACAATGAAAGCTACCTTAAGATTAAAAAACATGTGGTTCATCATACAAAAATTGCCCCCCTCTCTCAATGTAAAGCCAGAAAACAAGAGATAAGATCATATAAATAAGACTAGAAAATTTGCACCATTATAATAAAACAAACCATCGTTTTCTTAAGTTGACAACCTGCCGCTTCATCATCTCCTTATCTAGGTACCTGAAATTATAAATAACATTACCACTTATAATTATTCGATCAATTTTTCAGGTTTCAACCATGTACAGTTAATTTATTCAAATATACCTATATTTTATTTATTATCCTCGTTGAAGTAATTATTGTTATATTTTCAACCGTTTTGATTGATTGATGGTTTCATGTAATTTCATGTCAATAGTTTGATGGTTTGCTAAAGCGTAGAAATATAGACTAAACTTGTTTCGGAGGAATTCAAAGTGATGGTATCAGTTAGTTTGGTTTTGAATGAAAGATCCTTTAAGAAAACGGTGATTCTTGGGCACCAACCATTAATTATGATACCTTGATAGAACTTTGTTTCCTTCCATTTCCAATTAATGTTAGCCAAAATATATAGTTGAACAAAACAACATTTGTCAACAATTTTCTTCTATTTTTTTGAATGTTTGCCAATTAATTGTCAGGTATTCCTAGATCGAAAATCAAGTTGGTCCCGAGGCTAATTCTCTTGGGTTCACAAGACCAGTTTACCAAGTCCAAAACAGCGTAGAGTTCACGGGGTTTATCGAAACAAACAACCCCTTTAAAAAATTAAGCAATGAGTTGAATCTTGTGAAGAGAAGAGGTGGTTAAGTCTTCAAGAAATTAAGACTTAGTCTTCCCTGAAGAAAGAAGATGAAACGAATGAAAACTTACTCAGAAAACTGTTGAAGCTTTGGTCTAAATGCAACACTAATACTTTATTTCTTAAACATTATTTTAATCAAAACCCATTATCTTGTCTAAATTAACAATTATTTTAGTAAAGCTAATCCATCAAAAGAGTGGACCACCTCAACGGAAAAAAATGTGAATTCACTTCCATGTGAGGGGCACCTATTGCTTCGAATCTAGCATTTTTGTTGCATGTTCTCATCACTCTCTAAGAAGACGCTTTATAGCCAAAGTGGCTTGAGATTGTTGCACCCATTTTCTTTGTCTTCCATGAAAGGCCAATTGAAAGCTTTCATTCTTTAGTTAATTAATCAAACCACATCGAGCACTGGGAATTTTTTAGAGTCTAAACAGCCGACCAAACTGAGGTTGCCATGTGATTGATAGCGATTGTTTTGGAATCATTGTTGTCATCTCCTCACCTGCTTGTATGACCTCTTTCAATTCAATCAATAGTTAGTGCAAATGGTAGCATAATGTCAACTGGTACTCTTCACATTGATTTCTAAATCCAGGGTTTTTTCTATGTTGTCTTTAAGTTTATTTTATATTCCATTTTCAACCTATTTATTGCTTTTCTTTGAGCAATCCTTTTCATTTGAAAATTTTGTTCTACGCAGGAAGTGACTCTCTCTCATAAATCATTTCTTTGTTCACATCATTGATTTATTTCTCAATCTTAAATTTAATTTTCAAACTTTTTAGAATCTTTCCAGGATCGAAATCAAGAATATCATTAATTAAACCACATGCAAGATTATTACGTACTAATAATTATGCTATCAATTAATTATGACTTAGCATAACCTATAAACTTTATGGTCTTGATTATTTCTGATAGGGCTAAGGAATATGATGTTCCATTTAATTAATATAGGAACAATATATATGACTTCCCTAACAAAGTAATAGATATTTTCAAGTGAACCTTTTTAATTAGCCCAAATGGGAATAAAAACATTATCCATCTATTGATTGCCCTTGTCCTCCATATATATTAGAGGGGATAAAAAATGGAAATTAGGATCCTTATAAAATTTGGTTCCCACATATATGGGAGTGCTGATTGTTGTTAGGAACCTTCTTAAAAATATTTTGATTTCAATTGGAACAGTTTTGGTAGATGGGAACTTGGAAAAATGTAATTTTAATAATAAGAAAAAAAGGATGATATTCTAAGAAATTGTCTCCAAAGGACAATATGATGATAACTTTAAGTTACTTTTTCTGCTGTCTTTTGTATTCTAAAATGTTAATAAATAACGGAAGTTTAAAAACCAACTGAATATTATAACAAGAGCAAAGAAAACATCATGATTGCGTTCAACATGACCATTGCTAAAACACTGGAAAAAAAGGTGCAGTTTGGTGCATGTTTTTCGACAACTCATTAAAATATCGTTTTGAACAGCTTGGTCATGAAAATGATGGCAATTATAAGGAAGCAAATCTACCCAACAAAGGGCTTTGCCTAATTCTCTCAAAGTAACCAAATGTCTCAAATATGTGCCATAGAGTATAAACTCTTCTGTTAACAAAATTAATTGTACATTGGCTTTGGAAAAGAATAAAGGGTATAGGATGATTTATTGGCAGGCTCTTCAGCAAAGTCTGCAAGGGCATTATTGTTTTAAAAGAAATATATAATAATACTACTAAAGTTGAAGCATGTACTTAACTAGTTAAGCATTAAAAAATTTACTTGATTATAGATTTCCTTTTCTCAACCAAAAGGCATAACTGTACTTGAATAAGAACGTGCTAGTTCTAATTTTGTGTAATGGCCTGAGTGGAAGTAAGGAGTTTTCAAGTTTCTAACAACAGGGTCCTTCTCGAGCTAATTAAGGAAAACCAAACCAAGAAATTAGGTTGGATTTAAGTACCAGAATTTGCCTCGTTTAACTCAAGTTTTCATTTAGACTTTAAGGCCAGGCCTAGTTGATAATGGGCCTTAACTTGGAAAAGAATTTTTAAGTCCATAAATTCATTACTCAGTAGAGACAAGAATATCGGAGCCCTCTCGTCTTCAGGTTCAACCAAGCCCAATTGGCTTCTTCAAGACCTTTTGAGCATCTGGCCCTAGGCCCAATGGTTTGTTAGGGACATTTTGGGGAAATGTCCCCTTGAGCAAAGGATATCTCTGGTGTATGTTGTGTTTTAGTGTTTCAAATCCGGCTAACAGCGTAGGATCATAAATAAATCAGGCGATCAGCTCCAAATTCAGACAGCAACATTCATGCAAAAATATCTAGTTGGCCTTTTAAATTGGCATGGATATGAAATTGAAATTGATTAATAAAGTCGTTTCCAACTTCTAACATCTAACAGGTCATGAGCTTAGCCAGGCGAAGTCGACGAATGAAAATCAAGCATGTGTTCATAATTACGAAATAGAAAACGTTAAACATTTAAAACTCATCTTTTTGTTTTCTTGTTAACGTTAGCGTCAATAATTATTGGGATTGTCATAAAGTTGCTATCTCTTGTGGCTTTACTATAAGTAATACTTAACCCAATGACAAGATTTCCTAAGCGGCGAAGTGATTACAACTAGACAAATGATGGAGGAGCCATACCCCCAACTAATTGTATCAAGCTTTCTGTGATCATTGTCTGGGTGCAGATGTGGGTGTGGAGTGCCAGAGAAAGAAAGGAAAAACAGAACACCTTGGATTCCGGCAGAAGGAAGAATCCAAAAATTTGTTATAAACTTGGAACTTACGATTCTACTTCAGTAAATTCTGCATCATTTGTGACGATATCTCACACAATCGGCTTGTACAATCTGGCTGCAATTCAAATTGTTCTAGATATTTCTATCAAGGCCTAAAGCTAAATTACATCGCTCTACTTTCAACTCATTACATTTAGATATGATAAGGTTGTAGATAGAATACAAATAGAAAGAATTTCTAGTACCTGGAGAATATTCAAGATGAAGCTCTATCGACTTTTCTCATCTTCAACTTGTACAGGCGGTCATCATTGATCGAAATTCCTTGAAGTCCACAAATCCATCTCCATCCTTATCAACACCTTTGATCATGCGCTTGCACTCTTGAAGACTACACTTGCTGAATCCAAGGCTAACCAGAACCTTACGCAACTCTTTGGCAGAAATCAACCCGTTTTTATCACTATCGAAGATGAGAAAAGCATCCATATGATAATCTTCCTCGCTATTGTTGCTACAAATTGCTCCATCCGTATTAACTGCATGCATAAACTCATCCAAGTCGATGAAACCGTCTCCATTAAAATCAATTTCTCTGATCATTCCTTCAGCTGCTTTGTAGGCTGTAGACTTTTCATGTCCAAGGCACAAAAGCACTTCACTGAGCTCTAAAGAAGATATCTTTCCATCCCCATTTGCGTCGATGACTTTGAAGACTTGTCTAAACTGACCAGACAGCTCCATGGCCCCAAAAGATGATGTTATCAATTCAAAACTTGATGACAATCTGCGGTGTATTCTTCTCTTGCATCGGTTGCCGTGAAGAAACTGTTTAGCTCTCTTGTAAAGAGAGATCCAACAAGGTTTGCAGGAACTTAGCATAATGCAAAGAGAGAAACAATGAAGTAACCGGAAAAAATGATAGTTATTGTGCCAGGAACGGTTGATGTTGCAAGTTTTATGAGAGGTGAAAGTTATGGCTCTTTTCAAGAAACTTAAGTAAATTGTCACCTAGCAATAATTATATTTGGTACAATTTACTGCATAAAGACCAAATAATCCCCTTTTGGATGGGATAATCTCCATCCCTTCAACCTACAAAATCGGATAGAGAGAAAGGGTAAGGATGGAGAATCAATATTATGACAAAGTCCTTTAACGTTGTGTTGATCAAGTCTCGTCTGGTGGACGCCAGCTGAATTCATAAAGCAAAAACCAACAGGGACCGGTATGTTTCGCTTTCAACTACCCTTGTGGTTGTTTTTAACGGGTCGTGGCCTCCGCGGCTAGGGGAGCGATTGGCTCCAGAATTTGGAAGTCAGACAACTATGATCTTCACGTTTTTATCCAAAATTTTTAATGCATTTGGTGAAGAGAAAATGAAGGTAGCCTGTGCTTTCCTTCATTAGTTGAACCTCTGTTTCTCTTTTAACGATGATTTGAGATTTCAAATGTCCGAAAGAAAGCAAGACGACGCTCAGATTACCTGAAGTTTGTGCACAAGCTAAGCAATCAATATTAAAGAAATTGTGCTTGTTCGATTGGTAAAGAAGCCTGGATCATTGGTTCCAAAACCAACAGAGAACGGCCACAGTTTTAAGCACCGTTCATTTTCCAAGTCTCCAGCTGTCTAGAAAATCTAAAGTATTATGTTACAAAAAATGTTTCCAACAAACGCGGACAACAATGTAACTTTAAATAGAAATTTGAATCACTAACTGATCATTAATTGCATAGCTGCGATTCAAATTGACAGCCACCCAGTTTCAAAAACCATTTTTCTGACAATAGAGACGAGCAGATTACGGACTCACCCTTTGTTTTTACCTGTCTACCTCCTTTCTGAACTCAGGGGCACCAACCACTAAATCAAAGTTTCTATACGACAATAGGTCTTCGACTCACGTATTTAATAAGAAAATTTCTTACAGAAAAATCAAGGTTCTGAAACTCATTTAAAAGGAAAAAAAATTTTGACTACCATACGAAAAAAAAAATCCCCAATTGATATCCATAAATTCTGAAGAGTGGCTATTCTAACACATAAACTACACAGCAGGTTGAGAAGCACTAAACAATTCAAAACCAACTCTAACTCTTCAAACACTGAAACTATATTTCCGATAACAATTATTATGAACTAAAGGAGAAAATGAAAACTATGGAATTAGATAAGAGGTAATAAAAAAACATATTATCATACATCCAAAACAGAGTCCAATTTCACCAAGATCAACATGATCGAAGCAAAACAGGACCCACCGAGGAGCTAAGCATATCACTAAGAGCTAACTGGACCTCATTTGAACCATGCTCACAACTTACCATGCTCGAAAGAAGAGGAAAGAACTGAGCTAAGTTCTTCTCAAATAAAGTGTCTCCCAAACTACAAATGGCCTGGAGAGTCGCAACAATGAGAGGTGCACGGGCAGCCAATTCTCTTCGTTTCCCAGAACCTAAAGGAATCAACCATTGGGTTTGCCCATTGGGAGAAGTTTCAGAAGTCTGTCCAGAGCATGCAGTTTCTATATAAAACAGCAACACCTCCCGGCAAAGATCAACAAGATGGGACTCTACTTCAGCCTCCTCATACCTTGGAGGCCTATCCAACATTAGATTCTGCAAGAATGTAAGGCAAAATTGATATGACTCATTCTCAAGACGCAATAGCGGAGGATCTTGCATCTGAGTCATGGAACCAAACTCTTGAAGCTTGGAACGTAATATACTATTGTTGTTGATACTGTGAGCATGGGATGCCACATCATGCATTGCATCAAAGAGGACTAAGGTGTTCTTAGCTGAAAGGTGAGTTCGATACATGTTGTAAATTTCCATCACGGCCTGTCAGGAGAATAAGAACAGCAAAATGGCACCCACGAGTCAAAGTTAGCCCATTTCAAACTTAAAATAAACCCATTATTTAGTTAGATATTTGTTCAAATATAAATGTTAAAACAAGGAAATGAAAAAAAAGATAGGGTCAATTAACACTTGTTCATTTTACAAATTTGCAATTTCAAAGCAAATATAAATGTAAAAATAAGGGAAATAGAAAAAAGATAGGGTCAATTAACACTTGTTTATTTTACAAATTTGCAATTTCAAAAGCAGTCTTCATAAAATTCAAGCCTTTGTTCCATAACTCTGACTGCGATTAAACTAAACAGCTGTGTTAGTTATCAACCTTTGTCAAAGTTTAAACACTTGGAGGAAGCCACTAACTCCAGAAAGTTAAATTAGAACCAAAGCCATTAGTCTAAGATATGGAAGCAATCCATTCTTGCACTACTTCTCTTTCTGTAGCATGGACTTATTTCAATACAAAATGATAGAGAGCCCATCAGCGTAGAAACTACATCCATAAATTAATTGCAACAGGAAGTGTCTTAAAGGACTAACAAATTTAAAATTCAGATAGTTTCAAATAGTTTTACACAGTAACCTTAGCACTCTAATCAAAAGTTTTAAGAAAGAAAAACCATACTACTGTTCAGGTGCAAAGCATCCTATATCTGAAAAAACACTTGATTTTGGGAAAGCCTCATTGATAAACTTAATTACTATTTGCCAACACATTCAATTTTTACTGCCCGTAAGAGACCTTGTGTAAGTCCAGCATCTACAACATGTAAACCATTTTAAGGGTGTCAAGGAGCATTAGAAGAGAGCAATATCACAAATGTCTAAAGCATTATAGGGGTATGACACCTTTCACAAGTTTGAATCCACCCTCACTTAACTCTAAAATCAAAACAATTGATTAAAAAAAGAGACAAAATATTATATTTCTATTCCTTTTCTTTACTTGTTTTATGATGTGATGAAAGGTTTCATATGGTTTTTCAATATTAAGATGAGAAGTCTACCTGAATCAATAAAAGCTGAACAGCAGCACGGCACTTCGCATCAGATAGAGAAGCATAAAGACGCTGTGTTCTCAGACTCTCTGAATCACCCTGAGATGTGTCAGAACCAGCAGAAGCGTCATCACTTTGGCCATTCAAAGCATGTTCATTGCTTCCAACCTTGCCATCCACACTAACAATGTAAGAAAAATCAGGACACGTTGCATTAGCTGCTTCTTTTAATGAAAAAACTACTTCTAGCCACTTCTCCTCAGAAAAAAGATCACCAGCATTGCTCATCAAACGCACAAATGCAGCAATTCCAATACCAGCTAGGCTTTGGTGGGGACGCTTGATAAAACTTACAAGTAAAGAGAGAACCTTCCTTAAAAGAGGATTGACGGTATTATAAAAATTCACAAAAAGATCTACAACTAATTGGAGTGCCAATGTACACGTCTCATAGAGCCATGCATCTTGATCAAGTTCATCAATGTCGTTAACAATTCCCTGCTCAGGCGAGTCACCACCTGATGGATCAATAGCATGGCGCACATAGTCAAATATTGGAAAAAGGACAGATTCGAACACCCTTTCCCACAAAGGCAGCGAGAAGAGGTGACCATGGTTGCGTAAAGTTTCAAACAGCACTTGTAATGCACTCTTCCTAATTTCCGGCCTAGGGTCAAAGCTAAGTTCTGATAAACCTGCACGGCAAAATGCGATGCAAGTTAAGTTCAGAACAGAATGCATTTCTAAAGTATGATGACAAAAGTAACTTTGAAAACCTAAGTAAATTCAAATGCCTTGTAACATTAAAACAACTATTTCATTTTTCCTTACCAGCCAACAACGGGAACCAGAAATAGAGATGATCATCCTTATCCATTAGCTCTCCATTCTCTTGTCTACCATCTCTTCCTTTGTGAGGAGAAGATGGAGAAATCTTCCCAGATTCCTTATCGTTGTTCTTTGATGAGCCAAGATCCCCTTCAGCAAGTTTCGTGGCACAGAAACGTAGAAAAGCAATTGCATTGAGACTAATGTCTTTGTTGAATCTACTATTGGTGAATGCTATTAGGCAATTCACACAATCAGTGAAGGTGGTTGTTTCAGTTTCAGTAATGTATGGGAAATAGTCTCGAACAATCTTTTCCATTATTTCAAAGGCTAACAGTACAATGTTTTTGTGGTCATCATAGGCCGCGGTAGTGAAAACCTGAAAAAGATTTATCAGTTCAGTAATAAATTGATTAAAGATTAAGGTTTCAAAAACAAGGATCTATATGATAGTTATTAAAAATTCAGTACCATGAACATGCTCTTCCATCCCGATTTGACATTATTGACACGAGATAAAACCATCTGTGAGACACATCTGATGATTAATTCTCGGATTTCAACAGCACTGCTCTTGCGCATAACAATGACAAAAGGCTTCATAAATTCATTCTGAAAATTGTAATTAGCCAACTCTTCTCGCTCCAAAAATTTCATTGATAGCTGCCGCAAAGAGTCCATCGCAAAAATTGCAATTGACAGGTTTTCAGAACAGCCAATGGTCACAAAGAAATTGGAGAGTACAAGCCAGATGCTTGACCATACAAGCCTGATCCGGTTCATGTTATAGTGCCTGTCAATAGATCAGAAAATTTACAGTTAAGAAATATAAACAAATATATTGCATTAAGATAAGCCAAAGGAAGGGAAGTGGAATGAATCATACGCAATCTCAACAATCTTTGTAAGGCTAAAAACCCGTGGATCAGATGTAGATCGCAACTCCTCCATGGACACCTTGCAGAGAGCATTAACAAAGTCTATGATAGCCTCACTATTCAATTTTTGACTACGAGTGAATATTCGATTCATTTCACCAACTTGTTCTAACATGTTGAGATTAGAGACTAAATTGTTCATCTGTTCAGGTGTAACTGCCCCAGCAGAATTACCTCCAATACCAGCACTATCATACGAGCCCCTCATCACAGCAGCAGCAGCATACTGAATTCTTCCTGGTCCTTTCTTCTTTAAAACAGGAAGAACAGCTGACTTAGCTTGCTTAGATTTTTCTGAATCATTCTGAGGAAAGCCAAAGAAAGTTGCATCTGGAGGAGCACCCTCCCCCAAGAGATGCAAATGCTCAAACCGAGACACGCATGTCAAGATATGCTCCCAAGCTTCTTGTAAATAATTTCCATCTTCATCTGCAATTGTAACTATTGCCTATTAACAATGTAAACAGAAAATTCAATGTTAGATCCATATGCAAATGGAAATTTTCTTTAGAGCTCAAAATAAATGGATCTCACTAAAGAGTTCCCTTCGGCCACTCATTAAAGTTTCCATGTAAAGAATAACTTCATTGAATACATGGGAATGATCACATTCAGTAAAAAAATGGCAAATTTCCTTAATGACACTCCTCTGGGAGTGAGGTTAACAAAGTCGACCATTCATTGTCACCTCTATACCAAAGGTTATAATGGATATCTGAAATGGCTAAAAAAATGCATTCTTACTGATGTAAATATACTGAATCACATAGTTTGCGGGATTACAAGCATTTGAAAGGGGTAAGATAAAGGGAAAAATCACATATATTAAACACAACGTCAAAATTTTGAGATTACAAATAAAAAAAGGTTACTAACAACATTTTCAGATGAAGTAAAATATTAACCTTGATTGCATCTATATTTTTTTGCTTGATATCTGCAGGAGAGTGCAGTGAAGTGAACTTAGCTAATGAAGTCACAAATGCATCTCTATGAGTCTTCATGGACATCACAGCAGTGACATGGATTGCAGAGCGGAAGCCTTCAAGACACAATGCTATCACTACTTCATCATCACTTTGGTCAAGAGGCACACTGAAGGCAGCCAACATAGGAGCCCAGCATACTTCAACCATGAATCTTAGAATCACCACATCTGTGGCAGCATAATAAACTGACCTACAAATTTCCAGTACAATGGAAA